CGCATGGGCTGGAGTGGTGGGGCGGAGAATTCCGGATTCCACATGCCTAGCATGCCGCACTTTTGTGCGCTGTCGAGTCCACAGTTTAACATATTAAAAGTAAAGTAAGCGCCAGGACAAAAGCAGCTCAGCTCAGTCTGGGCATAGCACACGTCTATGCTAGTTCTTATTGTACACAATATTATTGTTGTTGTTGGCCTTGCTGCTGTTGTTGTCCATTCATCACTTGCGCGTTTCTGGAATGTCCTTTATGGCAACAAAAAACGTTCCTAGTCCCAAATATCCTGTTGCATTCCTCAGCGTCACTTCATAATTAGCAAACAGTGAAAATTGATGTAGCAAAGCCTTACGCCTGATAGCCTCATATCCTTTATCGCTCAAGCGTCCTTTTTTAACGATAATGCAGCTGTTTGCACAACACTTCAAAATAAGCGCATTTTTTATAGACGATGTGCGACGGCTGCAGTTAGGGCTGAGTGCCAGCTCGTGACACGAACTCCAGCGATATATTCTAGAAATCTTTTGTTTCAACTCAGCTGCCAATGAGTCTCATATAACTGCTCGCTCAAGTTGTGAATTTGGACCGCTCTTGTCGGTCCAGAGAGAGTCTTAAGTTGAGTTTGAATCTTCTATCGGCTGCAGTCCTTCCTTTTCTTTTTGCTACATGCTAAAGTCCTAGTTCGCTTAGCTTAAGTTTCTGCCAGCTAATTAGAAAAGATTAAGTTTCAGCACACATTTAACAACTGCTTGCATTAGAAGCACATGTTAGACACGCGCTCATCTCTGGCAGCGAGCGCAGCAGCCTTTCGGTCTTATCTCTTAGCCAGCTCGTCGCGTTTATCGTCGCTGTTGTCCTTGCACAAATTATTGAACAGCATTGAAAACATTTGAAGCGTTTCAGCTGAAAGCCAAGTGGCCGGCCCTAAAGACGTGCAGCCAGCGTCAAGGACTAAAAGGCATCGAACGGAACCGGGCACATGGGAACTGAGCAGCGCGCACAGTGCCTTCTTCCTTCGCCTGCTCTTGGCCAAGTGGCAAGGCGAATGCTTTTATGCTTATTAATGGCACTACATGCAATTTATGTGCGGTAGTTAAAATGCAGGCGCAAATTAATGGCAGCTGGCAGAGCAATGCACTCGCCGGCCAGACTGCAGCACCAAGGACTACTTCGACTACCTTTTGTTGTAAGCCCTTTGAGGCTGCATTGCATCGATTTCATTGGCATTGAGAGATGATCGTATCAGTTTCTAGTCGGCGTGTGCATAGCATAGCTCAAACTTCTGAATTTTAAAATAATTAAATATATTTTCCAAAAATTCCAGTTGAGTACTCTGAATACTGGCCATAGTCACACGCTACTTTTCCTTTTTTAAGCCTATTAACTCTGGTTTCTTAACCGATTCGGTTTATTCATTACTTTTCACTGGTTATCTCATAGTCTATGTTTACTCTCTACTCGCTACGTTCAACTATTTACTCTCTTCTCGTTACTCGTCAGTATCTACACGTTACTCTCTACTACTTAACATCAAATCGATACTATCTACTTGTTACTCTAGACTCGTTACTCTCTACTCGCTACTATCAACTATTTATTCTTTACTCGTTACTCGTCACTATTTACTCTTTACTCGCTACTCGTCACTATCTACTCGTTACTCTTGACTCGTTACTCCCTACTCGTTACTATCTATCGCTATTATCTCTTTCTTACTATGTCGTTTCTCTCTACTCGTTACTATCTGCTCGTTCCTCTTGACTCGCTAATACTCTACTCGATACTATCGACTTGTTACTCTTAACAACTTTATCTTTACTCACTACTCATTACTCTCCACTCGCTACTATGTACTCGTTACTCTCTACTCGTTACTATCTACTTGTCACTATCTAGTCGCTACCCTCTACTGCTTCAACTCGGCTCCTTACTAAGTATTCCTTACTCTCTACTCGTTATTATCTACTCGTTACTATCCTCTTGACTTTTTACTCTCTACTCGTTTGTCTCTTCTCCTTACTCTCTACTCGTTACCCTCTACTCGTTACTATCTACTCGTTACTCCCTACTCGTTACTATCTATTCATTCCTCTTGACTCGCTATTATCTACTCGTTACTATCTACTCGTTACTCTCAACGACTTTATTTTTACTCGTTACTCGCTACTATCTACTCGTTACTCTCTACTACTTAATCTCCACTCGTTACTTACTCTCTACACCTTACTCCCCTCTCGTCATCCTCTAGCCATGACCTTCTGTTCGTTACTCTTTACAATATTCAAAGCTATACTTAATTCCATAGATAATATTGATATTTCCTAATTGCAACCTAGGCATTTCTAGTGATATTTTGACCTAACTCTAAAGCTTGCTAAGTGTGCAACGAAAAAGATCTCAGAGTCTGACATGGAAGCGCTTCATTAGCCTTAGCTTAGCTAAATATAATCCTCTTTATACGCACCTGGCAACTGTTTAGACTAAGACTAAAGAGAGTACTTTTCCATATAATGAAAGAGACACTGAAACAGAGAGAGAGCGAGAGAGACTGACTCAGTGGTAGCTAAACTTTTGCACAAAGGCCCAAGTGCAGAAGGCGTCCTTAATACCCCATTGCCCCCGCCTCTGCAGCGCTCTGTATGTGGCCCAAGTGACTGCAACTTTTGACTTTGCGTGATACGTTTGGGGTTTTCTAAGGGTTGGTTCGACGAGACCGGCGTTGGGCGGAGGTTTACTGTTTCGCTCTGCGGCTGTTGCTAGCTACGAGAAAATTTATGGCCAATTCAATAAACGATTTTATTACATGCGCACGTTGTGTTAACAATGTTATTATTATTGGCGCTCAGTTCCGCAAAGCTGTATAGCAAACCTCTGCGCCCAGCCCCCATCCGGCATGGGGGGCCATAGCTACGGGCAATGCGGCAAAGGGTTGATGGGACTTGCTGGCTGGGCCAATTATTATTATGAAAATTAATTTATTTTCTATCGATAATGCAGGCGCCAAAAAGGCAAAGCTCGCACGGCTGCAAGTCCTTATCAACAGCTGCCCAGCTAGCCCACTCCCCCATTCGCCCCATCACGCTCTAACCCCCACTGTCTGCCTGCATTCAGACTTTGGCGTGCATTTCCAAATGCTTTTACTTTGTTTGGAAGCCAAACTGCTGCCATACCCTAGGCTTTATGAGAGGGTGCTAAAGGGTAGGCTAACTGCTGTCTGGCGCGCTAGCTACAAGAACTGCGGACCTGAAAGTTAATATATAGCTTTACTTCTTATATCATATGTTGATCGATATCTTATCGAACGTCGATAACTCGAAGTTTGTTATATGGTTGCACGCGTTGCATCCAATGCAGAACTCATGTGAAGAGGTCCTAAGATAAGGTAGAAATTGTTAATTTTGTTGGGTATTTTCTAGCTTGGCATGCCCGATTCAGGCTCTCTTATTTGTGCTTTTGTTGTTGTTGGCGGAGCCACTGGATGTCAACGCTTTGCGCTTTTGTTTGCCCAACACAACAAAAGGCCAGTAGCGCGCGCACACACACACACACACACACACACACACACACACACACACACACATACACACATGAGTGGGGGCTTAGCTTATTTTCTACGAATGCATTGTGTGTGTGTGCGTGTGTGTGTATGTGTGTGTGCAAATATAAAGCTTAACAGGCGCACTCATGTGCAACGCAACAAGGCAACAAAAGTCTCATTACTTTTACTTGGCAAATAATAAAGCTAACGAAACAACAGCAACAACAGCAACAAGAACAACAACAGCAACAACAACAACAATAACCGTACAATTGTCAATTGACTTTAGCTATGCAACAACGACAACATACACACACATACACACAGCCACACATCTGCACACAGACACAGTCGTCCATACTCAGGTACATAATTGTTCTACCCACTTAGAAACAAGTTGCCTGACTAGCAATATACCCTATCAGAGCAACTGTAGCGGAATTAAAAACGGATAGATAGACGTATGGACGAATGGATGGAAAGACGGACAGACGGACGGACGGACGGATGGATAGATAGATAGATAGATAGATAGATAGATAGATAGATAGATAGATAGATGGATGGATGGATGTATGGATGGATGGATAGATGGATGGATAGATGGATGGATAGATGGATGGATGGATGGATGGATGGATGGATGGACGAATGGACAGATGGACCGATGGATGGACGGATGGATGGACGGATGGACGAACGGATGGACGAACTGATGGATGGATGGATAGATGAATGGATGGACGAATGAATGGATGGACGGACGGATGGACGAATGGACGAACTGATGGATGGATGGATGGTTAGATGGATGGTTAGACGGATGGACAGATAGACGGATGAATGGGTGGATGGATGGATGGATGGATGGATGGATGGATGGATGGATGGACGGATGGAAGGAAGGATAGACGGATGGATTCGTGGATGAATGGATGAATGAATGAATGAATGAATGAATGAATGAATGAATGAATGAATGAATGAATGAATGAATGAATGAATGAATGAATGAATGAATGAATGAATGAATGAATGAATGAATGAATGAATGAATGAATGAATGAATGAATGAATGAATGAATGAATGAATGAATGAATGAATGAATGAATGAATGAATGAATGAATGAATGAATGAATGAATGAATGAATGAATGAATGAATGAATGAATGAATGAATGGATGTACGGATGAATGGAAAGACGGACGAAGTTAGATAAGACGGACGAACTGCCCCGGTCTCTGCTCAATCATTCTCTTTAGCTCATTGGCCAAAGATAAAGGGTAGCTCCTAGTCAATCAATTAGCAGCAGGAGTACCCACTCGCTTTTGCATTGAGATATTGATTGGGGCAACTGAATTTGATGGAGTTGCACAAGCCACTTTCATTTAGAAGCCAGCTTATCTTTTTGCTCAATGTGAAACCAAATAAAACAAAATTTATTAATACTAAGCTCACACAACTACTGCGAATCAATGTTGTAGAAGGACTGAGGAAATTGTACATCCTGCTCCTCAAGCTGCAGAGCCTCTTCTCTCGTCTGGGCGTAGAGCTCCACGACCTGGAATTTGCCCGTGGACCAGCCAATGATTAGGCTTCGCCTTACATTCTCACCGCTGCGCCTCACATTGCCAAAGGCCAAGCAGCTGGGCCAGGCATACAGAGCTTCGGTGCAGCCTATGATCTGCACGGGCTTCAGCTTGATGCTGCAGCCGAGGGGTATGTGCAACAGACAGAGCAGTACGAAGGACTGCCGCGTAAATATGAATGCGACATAGATGTTCAGAGGATCCATGAAGATGGACTGCACTCGGCCACCTTTGCACTCATGCCAATTGCAAAAGAAGCTGGCTAGATCAATGACCTCTTTGCTGCTCCATATCAGAAACTCTTGCTTTAGGGGTCCGATCACCATGGTCGAGGTGGAGCCGAACACCTTGCTAGAGCCCTTAATCACATAGAGCAAGTGATTGCCTTGCGCAGTCCACACGGCCGTCTGCAGAGGCCAGCGCTCGACCAGTTGACTGCTCAACATTTTCATAGAGTTCCGATAGGAGAACAGTATAGACTGTGTCCTCAGAAAATCTAACAGCTGGATCATATCCGATGGATAGCGCATCGCCCAGTAATTGGTGCCCATCACGGGCATACTCAGCTCCTGCAGCACTTGCTTCAGTTCCGGATGCCAGATCTGTATGCGTTGATTGCCCAGCGAGGCGGTGACCAAGAGAATGCCCGTATGCTGCCATTGCAGATCGACAATGATGTCGCCCTCGCGATAGCCCAGCCAGGTCATCGTCTTATAGCCCCCATTCGAGAACTTCCACAGGCAAATGCCGCCTTCGCCTCCGACCGCCGTCTGCCGCCATGTCCAAGGTCGAAAGGCGCCGCAGCTCAAGTGCTGCTGTTTCGGCGATGACAGACAAAGCGGCTTCTCTAGCATATTTTCGTAGATCAACGCCGTATCCATGCTGGTTAGCAACATGCGCTGCATGCTCGACGGATGACAGGTAATAAAACGTATTTTGGCAGTATTCCAGCCGCAAGTCTCGGAAGTTTTCGCCAATTCGTCGATGCTAGGCCGACTTCCTACATAGGGAAAGCGATCCCAGTTGAACAGCCTGTGGAATATCCGATCACACACCGACTTCAGCTTCAGATAACACAAGGTAAAGGACTTCCACCGACTTGACACCCCACACTTAAGACGGACCCATACAGAAATCCTCTCGCGTTCGGCTATCGGCTCAGACGAGGAGTGCAGACATATATTCCTATCACGTGGCATAAATCCTCTGGCATTCCGATACATATTGTTCTCTGCTTTAACTTCAACTTCAACTGAATACCTATAGCAATAAATTATTTTTTTGAAAATTTTCTAGCTCTGCTTTGCAGTACGGAAAGAGCGACACTGAGCACATTTCAGTAGCTACCCAAAATAAAGCCTATCCACGCCTACTTTGTTCAAAATGTTTTTGGCCTAAACAGTAAAAAGCTTGCCATCTTTTACTGGGGGTTTGAGACAACTTCCTTAAGCCAAACGCCTAAACGCCTTAGAGTCTAGCGCAAACCCTTTAAATATCAGAGATATATCTTTACTGGTTCTACCTGGAAATTACTTTATAACTTACACAATTCCAAATTCAATTCACCTATATTAAAAGAGAAAGACATAGATCTATAAATATGTAAAAGCAAGCTATAGACTCTTATAAGGCAAACGAGTCGTGTGGGCAAAGCTTGAATTTGTGCATAGCTACTTATTCAGGTTGCACAATCATTTTGCGCAATCATGCTGGCACTCAATTTAATTGATTTTAAAGCCGCTGTCCGACCAGACAAAATGACAAGAAAAAAATAGGTTGCAAGAGGCTTAGGTTAAGGGGGACTAGTTGGGGTGGGTAAGGTCTTGTCCATAAAACAATTGAGGGGCATATGCAGCCGCAGTCGAAAGAATGCGTAACAGGTTAGAAGCCCAGCAAAGTGAAACCCAAAAAGTCAGCTCTCGAAACTTATGTACAGCAGTTGGGTTTCGGGCTGCCCGTGGTGGGTAGAGGAATAGTGGGGCAGGAGACTTTTGGTTTCTGGCTTTTGGACTGGGTTCGGTTTCAGCTCTGTGAACGGTTCGGTCAGGCGGCTTTTGAGTGTTTTCCACCTGAGCTCAAACTTAAGTGGCGAAACTTGATTAAACTACACCCATTCACCCACACACCCACACACATACAGACACGAAAACTTTGCACAGAGTGTGCGAGAGAGAGCAAGAGAGACGCAGGGAAAGTGAGCTCGGAAGTCCAAGAACTGCGTACAGGGATTTATTTGCGGTTGTGCAGCGAACGACAAAGAGTTGACTTCTCTCAACGTTTTTATGTGATGCACAATAGCCACAGTAGCACAGTTGCAGCTACAATATATTATAAAAAAAACCCTGTAAATATTGCAACTTACTCTAAAAGGTATATAAGCTTAAGCTGCTGTGTAGTAGCTATACCCAGTGCGCTCAGATGCTGATTGAGTCCGACTTGGCTACACCGGTATACCCTACAGATACTTATAAAAAACCGACTTCACATGCTTAAAAGTTGATTTCAAACAGTTCTCCGCATCAATCGCTTTATTTATACAAAATTCATAAGCAGCTTTGTTCGGCTTCACATGAGTTTCGACTGCCAGGGAGAACTGAAAGAAAAATAAAACGGGCTTCAGCTTATTACAGGGTATCTATAGGTCGACTAGCTTACTCAGTAGAACTCCAGTGGCAAGTCCAGCGCGTATTCCTGCTGTTGCTCCACGTGGGGCATGACCGCAGCTGAAGCTGCAGCTGTCACATGCGGCGGCACAGCTGGTGGCAAGTAGGCATTGCCTGGTGGCAGCAGAGCTGCCCAAGCGAACCCGCAGAGAAACAACAATTGTAGCAACATCTTGAGCATCATTTGAGAGCCGAACTAGTTCCCCTTGTGAACTGTGAACTCGTTCCGCTCAGGCAGCTGCTTTTATACCACAAGCGAGCCAACGAAGCCAAGGCTAAATCAAAAGCTCAACTAATTGAAATTGCAAATGAAGCACCAAATATACCCTGTACTTAAATTAATTGCAAACGGTATGCCATGACATGATTTACTAAAATAAGTTCCGATCTTTCGGTACTTAATATTTCTTTATCTTTTCAAAAACTCTTAAACAAATCGATAAATATCGTTCTTGATTAGCTTTAACTTTTTAGAGAGTATCTCCTGATAATAATCAAGAGAATTTTTAAAAAGTCTATTAGGTAGAGTCTTATAAATATATGAAGCATAGCTGCATTTTTAAGCGCACTCATATTTCATTCATTATCGATAAATATCGTTTAGACGAGGTATCTACTAGTGGAGCACTCACGAGTGCACTGACGTTGCTGTGCTCCATTCTAATAATAATTGTATATATTAAGATTCTTGCATATAACAATGATACCCTATAATTTATTAGAGGGTAATACCCGGCTATTGTTTTCTTTGTATTTTTTCATATTTTTCGAATTATATTCTTCGTCTGTTATGTTTTTACAGAGTATGTGCTCAGTCAAGCAACTCTTAAAGCATTTTTTTTGATATGGACTCACTTGATCCAAATGTTGTATTATAGGGTATAGGCTAGTCAGGCACTTACTGCCACTGTCACTAGCTGCTTCTTCGCTTTGATTATTCCCCCACTCACATTTGGCGATCTTATCAAGCCTGCCTAACGATCCCTCAACAGACAGCGCACTTAATTCTTATTCTTGTAAATTTCCCAGTTTTATTTACAGCTTCAGCTCGCTGTGCAGCTCTTATACGACTCAGTGGCTGTTGAGCTGGAGGACAGGACTCGGCCGCTGCGTACGATTCGGATGCTCGGCTGGCGCATGCGCTTGGCTGTCTGCGGCAACCGACGAATTGCAGCGTTTCCCGCCAAAGCCCCGCTGAGTGGCCAGCGGGCGGGCCGGACGGGGGCGAGTTTTGTTTACCTTTGTTATCAGCGCTTATCAGACTCTGCGCTGACATCCTGACGAGCTTCAAGTGTGTGCCCATTGGTGGGAATCTCTGGGAATGCGATGGGTGTGGCTGCCGGGCTGCCAGGCTGCCAGGCCTTCAAGCTAAAGTCAATGTCCCAAACACATCAATTACACGCGCCGAAGTCATTTGAATGACGCGAAATGTTGGCAAACTGCATTCACATCATTCATCATTCAAATGCTGCGCATTCCATTCCATTCCATTCCATCTAATGGCTTACATTAATTTCAGAGACCCGAATGAGTTACAGCCAGCCAACGAATAACGCATTCCGCAGCAGCGCCACACATTGGCTTAGTACTCTGAATCCTAATATAGTTTTCACACAACTATAGCTATGACAAGCTGCATAATACAAGGAAAACCTCTATGAACGTTCTAGTTTTGGCATTCTGGCATCAATAAGTATTTCCTAACTCATTGCTAGCTAGCAAAACATGAAGAGTATAATGTTTTGCAGTAGGCACGGACGAATAGATGCGTCGATCAAGCCCTGCTCGTCTTCTGTTTGTCTGTCCTTCCGTTCAGCCCTCAGTCAGTTTCTCCGTTCTTCCTTGCTTCCATCCATTCGTCCGTCCGACCAACCGTCCATATGAAAAGCTAGAGACTTTAGATTTCAAATATATATATTTAGCTTATGGCTAAGCTGATTAAGACAGGAGAGCTGTGCACACTGCTCAAAATTAGAGTACTCCTATGTATTTTGGTAGGGTCTATCATAGACATGTCTAGAAATCAGTGATTAGCCGCTGCTCGTTAGCCTTGTGCTGGACTCGAAGTAAAAACACATATCGTACATTGTGTGCAACATGATGACAACATTTGTTGCTTGCAACCATGTGAGTGGGGACTTGCCACGTTCCACTTTCTACTTACCACTTGCCAGTTGGCAGTTGCTCGTCATCGACTGCCTGAATCCTTGCCAACTGGTGCCCTGGCACTCGTCTCCCTTTGCTACACTTCCGGCATTTAAGCAAACAAAATATGTAGCAAGCAGTTGCAACAAGCTGCATGCGGCTTCAGCGTTTCGGCTGCGACTAGCATTTGTGTGCCACATGCGCCATGTTGCATGCCGCATGCCCCACATGTGTAGGCGGAAAATGCGGCCATGTAGGCTAATGAGTTCGCTTTATGTCCGACCCGAGCTGTTATTGTTGTTGTTTCTACGCTCACTTCCCCTCATCCTGCTGTTGTTTTGCTCGCCTTCAGCTTCTGCTTCTGCTTCAGCTTGCTCTCCTTGGCTGTTGCGGCTGTTGTTTTGCTGCTGTTGTTGGCTAACGAGGCCGCCACATTCTGTGGCACGACTACCCGCCGCCCTCCAGCACCCATCCGCATGAAAACAAATGCTTGTGGCGGTGTCATAATGGAAATGTAAATGAAAATAAGGCAACGGTATTTGGTATTTGGTGCACAACCCTAGCGTAGGGTTGTCGCTGCCTGACAGCCGGCAGGCAGGCACACACAGACACGCCGAGTCGGAAACGGCACAGGACTTGGCTGAACATTCAATGGGTAAAGTTGTGACATCTTTATTTTAATGAGTTTAGCCAAATGGATCAATTAAACTCGTCTGCGGGCAGCAAATGCTACTGAAAATATTTGAGAATCACATAGAAGGGAGCGACCAGGTATATTTCTGACGGACGGACGGACGGACGGATGAGTTCCTCCAAGACCTAACCAGCCTTTAAGAATGGGCTTTATTCAGAGTAAACCTCATACCTCATACAGCATATACATAAGTATCCATATAGCTAAAGGTAGTTTAAAGCTAGTCAAAGTAGCGCCTTAGCCAGACCACGCGCAGACTGAGCAGCTCCAGCAGAAAGACACTCAGAGCTGTTAGCAGCATAATATAGCAGATAAAGTTGAGGCCGCAGAACATCTCGAGCCTAAGAGCCGACGCTTCGTGCGAGACGTAGGGGGCATGGAACAGGCGCCGCTCGAAATGCCGATTGATGTGCCCGACGATGCCAGCTGATTGCAGTTGCTTGAGCTTGCGATCGAAGGCAAACTTCAGAATCGAATGGCGATGCAGACACATGACCAGCTGATACAAGTAGATGTGCTCCTTGACATGGGTCAAGCGACTGCTCTGCCAATTCTCATAATTGTAGTGGGCCAGGTTGCCCAGCAGAGCGCTGGTCGTCAGACGGGCGCCATCCTCAGCCGCTTGCAGTTCCTCGAAACGTTGCGCGAGGTTCGTCTTGCGCAGCAAGGAGCGCTGTGTCGGAAAATAGTCCACGTAGTCGTGAGTGAGGAACTGATAGCGCTGCTCGAGCAGCTCGCCAATTCGCTCCGGCACAGGCGGATAGTAGGGCAGTCGAAAGGCATCGTAGAGCTTGCCCTGGTAGGCGGCGCGCTGCACCAGCGCCAAGAGCAGCCAGGCGCCCAGATAGCAGCGCACTATGCCCGCACGCGGCAGGGCAGCTGCGTCCAGTGGATTGCCCAGCAGAGTGGTGTGGACACGCAAGCCACTGGCCACCACATCGAAGCGAACGCTTCGCCGACGCCACAACCACTGCAGCAGCAACAGGGCCAAGCAGGAGACGCTCAATGCCAGCCAGACCGTGGCACAGAATGGCTGCACCAGCTGGTTCACTGCGCCCATATGCTGATCCACGCGCACCACAAACACCAGAGCGCTCTGATGGTAGGCGCTGGTCGTCGAGAAGTTTTCGCGTAATACATGTGAGCCGCTCATGGCGCCAATGATCACTGAGGAGTTGTGAGCCGCCAGCTGGTGTAGGCAGTCCTCGGTGCTGCTGTTCAGCGGCAATGCAACTGACTTCTTCTCACACGGCGGCAGGAGGTGCAAACGAAAGTGAAAGATTTTCGCCAGCATCTTGATCAGCTCTCCATCGACACCCGTCAGGCGCCAGGTTTCCATGCGCTGCTTCGGGTCATGCTGATCGCCAACGAACATCACATACGGCGGCAATAGATACCAGCTGATGTTCAATGGACAGCCAAAGAAGGTGCCCAGCTGACGGCCAAAGAGCGGCTCCTGCCTCAGCAGCTTGCCGCGCTCATAGCGATCGAGCAGCATCGGCGTGAAGGAGACATTGCAGCCGGGCGCATACAAGTGAAAGCCATAGAGATGCACCACATCCGCGGCTAGCCAGGCGGGCTGCACCAGCACCACAGCATTCAGCACATGGAAGCTGAGGCAGGTCTTGAAGATGCTGTAGAGAGCCGAGAGTAATGACTTCTCTGTCTCGGCGCGCCAGCTGAGCACGATCAGAAAATTGAACTCGCGATCGAAGAGCGACTTGGCGAAGCTAAAACGCAGCTCGCGAAACGAGTGCGGAGTGTCCACCAGGAACAGAATATGATCGCGCGGCTCCTCGATGGGCTTGGCATGCAGCAGCTGCACAGCCATCTGTTCGCCCAGCTGCTGCAGCAAATAGCCCAAGGCCAAGTTCAGTTCGAGATGCGGCCGCTCCAAACGCGCCATCTTCATAATCCCCATCGAATTATAGCTCGGATTAACGTAATGCCTCAGCACATGCACTGCAGCTCGATCCACTTCCCTGGGCTGATAGCTCTCCGCTGGCTGCAGTGCAGCCAAACAGCAAGGCACCAAAGGCAGACACAGCCACAGCCACAGCCTTAGAGAGTGCAACATTTTTGTGGCACAAGCGAACAACCTCGAGCTGTTGTCCAATCCAAACTGTGCCACGTCGCCGCCAGTTGAATTAATTCCATTAATTGCAATGGAAAAGTAAACCCATTCATTAATTTCAACTAAATGCATTAATTTCAGCGATAAGCCACATCGAAGATAGTGCAAATGCTAAGCGATGTTATAGAAAGGCCAAATATAGAGAGCATAGAGTATAAAAGAAAATATAGAAATTTAAAAAAAGCATCGAAAACATAGAATAACATAGAATATAATATAGAAATATTATAACATAGAATATGAATACATAGAATACACAGAATACATAGAATACATAGAATACATAGAATACATAGAATACATAGAATACATAGAATACATAGAATACATAGAATACATAGAATACATAGAATACATAGAATACATTACATAGAATACATAGAATACATAGAATACATAGAATACATAGAATACATAGAATACATAGAATACATAGAATACATAGAATACATAGAATACATAGAATACATAGAATACATAGAATACATAGAATACATAGAATACATAGAATACATAGAATACATAGAATACATAGCATACATAGAATACATAGCATACATAGAATACATAGAATACATAGAATACATAGAATAGATAGAATAACAGCATAGAATCCAGTTCAGTCATACCAACTGACTAGGTATGGCAACACCACATTGTCACGCAGTCAGGCAACTCTTTTTTATGAGGTAATTGCGCACAGCCGACTTATGACATTTGACTTGGGACTTTCGAGTTCGAGTTTTAAGTTTTGCAAGCTGCTTGCATTTATTTCCATTCCATTTCAGCTCAGTTGCCAGCCGAAGACTCATAATTACCAGCGCAAGTTTCAGACACACACACGCACACCCACACATGTGTGTGTTTTGTATTTGCGGATTTTTCGTCGAGGAGGCCCAAAAAAAAAAAGGGAAAAAAAACTTTTTTGTGACTTTATTTTTTGGCGGCAGCAAAAAACTTTTAATTTAGCAAGTTTTTTGACTTGCGACGACTCTGGCTTTTTCTTTTCTTAGTTTATATATATATACATATATATATATACATTTGTAGTGTATGTGCGTGACAGTTTGGCATCTTATTAAGCAAATAATTGCCCGTGCGGTGCATGTGAGCCGCAGCAGAAGCCTCGTCACTTCAAATATTAGGCAAACGATTGCAATATCCGGTTTCAACTATACTTCCATTGAGAGCGCCAGGATTGTGTTATTGCTTATAGTATATATTATATAGTATGCTAAGTTATTTTTTGGGGCTCGCATATTCAAGTATTGACTGGAGTCAACTACTCGATTATACCAAAGTAGCTCAAAATATTGATTGATTGAGTATTTGCAGCTCCAAGCAGAAGTATCAGCTGCAGACGTGAGTGCAGGAATTAGGTCAATATATATATTATATATCTATGATAATCTTTGGAATATATTCAACTAATTTATAGTAGTCAATCAAGTTGATATAGAAGGCGAGAAGAAGTTTCTCTTCCGCTTCTGCATTGTAGTCTCTGGATTGCAAAGGCTAATCACAAAGCATATCTACCAGATCGTAACACTAACTATTCTTAGATACCTTTCTATAGAGAATATCTTACATAATTCATATAAATGTATCTATATTATATCCTTACCTATATATATATATACATATATTTATATATATTCAGTCATATATATACATATCTATTTATCTTTAGTATAAGTATCTATATGTCTTTAGATCTAGATATGGCTATATTAAAATATATATAATATACATAACGTTTATTAAGACTCTATTTGTATTATATCCTCACTATATCCACACTTTATCTATACCATATATTTGGAAGAACTACATTTTCTGTTGGTTTTATCTGTCTATATCAAATGATATAAAATGAGAAATATTAGAGTGGATCATAGGACATAATACATAAGTCTACATAGACGACTAATTACAACTTTTACAGAGTATTGCCAGTGCGACTTGATGGCATTATTTATTTGAACAATTTCATGTTAACAAAATAAATGTTGCTGTCTGCGCTTTTTGCTCGCCTTTTGTTTATCAAATGCGCACATTAATTACGCAACCACAAACACACACACACACATGGACACACATGTGTGTGCATTCATGCATGTCCAACCAGCAACCGGCCCTCTCGACCCGCCCCCGCCAACCCGCCGACCCGCCAACCCGCCGACCCGCTTCGATAGCTGCAAACATATCGTTTTTGGCTGAGCGCCGCATTTGCATTTATATGCGCATATCCTTTGTGCCCAAAGGATATTACATTTTTCCACTTGAAGCATTTTTCGTGCATTTAATGAAATTTTTAATTTTTATGCAGCTGCAAAATGGGGCGTGGCAGCGCAGCGGGCGCCAGATTGCACTAGCAGCGCAAACGGAGGCAGGCAGAGAGATACAGCAAATGCTCGCTACAATTGCCGCTGTCCAAAGCTCGAGCCAATCCCAAAGCGCAAAGATAAATTTTTATATAAATATATATATAGCATATATATATATATATATATATATATATGAAAAGCATTTCGGCTCTTTGGCTCTGCATGTCCCCTGGCCAAGACCCCTCTTGGTTTTTTTGTTCCCAAGATGCAACTGCAACCGCAACATGGGCAAAGCACAATTAGGGTATACCTTGTAAAACCTCGATTTACAGCTGTTACATTACATTGAGTGACAGCGGCGGACAGAATTAGAACTGCTTCAGAAAAATCCTTAACAGCTGTTAAGTTTAATAGAAGAACTGATGCTTAGCAACTGTTAAATTACATAGAGATACATCTACTTAACAGCTGTCAAGTTTTACATTTACTCAGGCTGTTAGCCACATTATTTATTTAACAGTTACTCAAAAAAAATTTACTAACAGCTACTTAACAGCTGTTAAATTCAACGAATGTATTTAACATTTACTTAACATAACTTGGTTTACATTTACATAAAAATGCTTTAAACAGCCCCTTAACAGCTGTTCAACTGCAGTTAACAGTTACCTAACGGCCGTTAATTCTAGCAACAACCACCCAACATTTGGTTAAAGATTCCACCAAACTGTTGCCAACAGCTACTTAAGGACTGCCAAGAGACAACATTTAGTTAAAATTTTCCACTTTGCTTGGCTCTTCAATGCCGCTTTGGCTACTCGACTGCTAGAGGGTATCATGAGTAGATTGGCCCTCAGGGCTGAGACAGCCTTGTTAAATTTATTTAGCCTCAGCTGAGCTGCATTTGCCTCTTTGAGCTGTGTGCGGCTGGACACCAAGCCCCACAAGGCGAGACAAGGCATTCAACCGAATGTTGCGCTTGCCATGGCTGTTGCTGCGGTCACAGAAGCCGACTTGGATCCTTGACTTGGATGTAAATGAAAGAGAAATTGATCTAAGAGCTGAGTGGAACGAAACGGCAAGCCTATCGATAATCAAAATATATCGATAACACAGCAAAAAAGGACAGGGAGAGAGAGAGGAAGAGCTGATAAACAAATTCCGGTCATAACTTAATCTGAAGAGCATATGCTGATGGGGCTGGAAAACCCAATTAAATTGTATGCCACATGCTTGAGCAGCTGCTAAAGGAAAACAAAAAGATAAAGCATGCCGTACGGGGCAGGCGGTAACGTGGGAACAGGAGGGACCGGAGGAGAGAGAGATATGATATGGCCATAAGTCAACTATCTGGCGCCAACTCCGCTTACCCAAGTTCTGGCCAAAGTTCAAGTTTGTTGGCTGTGCCTTAGTGAAGGAGTGGGCCACGGAAGGTGCGATTCGGCTTCATTTCTGTGCATAAATTAAAAATGACAAGGATATGCGGGCAGGACACGCGGCAGCAATGTGTAACCCAAAGCGCTCGCAACAAGTTGCAAGTTTCTGCCAGCACACACTCGACGCTCTCAGTGTGTGTGTGTGAGCTGAAAGTCAAAACCCCAACCCCAAGCCCAAGCCCGACTCCAGTTGCCAATCCTTTTTGCCTGCAACTTGCCTGAATCCTTTAGGCATTCACCTGGCAGCGTGTTCAGAAAATTTCTACAAATTCAGCGAAAAGTATTTTTCCACCTTGAAAAAAAGTGCCTAACAGAAATGGGGCATGGGCGCTACAGTTTTGGACTTTATGAAGAAGAATGGTGAGGCGGGAGCGGAGGACGTTGCATATTTGGTGGAGAACGAGAGCAAGAAATGATTTATGAATGCAAAAAGTTGTTGGGCCACAACTTTTGCGGAACCAGCGACGCCGCCTACGCCAGCCACGTCTCCTTGTTATACCCTGCAGCCAACGGGAAGGAGGGTATATTTGCGTGTAGCATGAAGAGTCATCATAAACATACAGATATTACCAGTTGAGTCAGATAAAAACTATTGTATATCGATAGATATTTGTATATCGATAAATATCGATAACACGTTGTTGATATCTTCCTAATCGAAATTACATTGAGAAGCTAACCGAGTGTAGCTAGTGACTCTCAACTGCTGGCTTGAAGTTAGATATTAGAGATTGTCATAGATGTCTATCGACATCAAATATCGATAAATATCGATAACACGTTGTTGACATCTTCGTAATCTAAATGAACAAGAAAAGCTACCCGAGTGTATCTACTGCTGGCTTAAAGTTATATATTGGAGATTGTGAAATATCGATAAATATCGATAACACGTTGTTGTCATCTTCGTAATCTAAATAAAATAGAAAAGCTACCCGAGTGTATCTACTGCTGGCTTCAAGTTAGATATTAGAGATTGTCAAGGCTGTCTGTAGGCATCAAATATCGATAAATATCGATAACTCGTTGTTGACATCTTCTTAATCTAAATGAAGTAGAAAAGCCAACCGAGAGTTAGATAATACAGATTGTCATAAGTGTCTATCAGCATAAATTATCGACAAATATCGATAACTTTTGATGCCATCGAAGTGATTTATAGACGAGCTGAGTATAGTTT